TATTATAGACTGTCTCCACTTCATATAAGCTTAAGAGAAATGACTTCTTCGAGTTACCTAATTTGATACTCATTATGCTATTGAAGAGGAGGTGAAGTTTTTCAAGTCACCAATTGATTAAAAAACTCATATATTTTTCAATAATCAGGATTTAATTTCATTGAATTGTAAAATCTCATTTTGCATGATGTCTATAACCTTCTAAGACTGTGATACATGAAATGATGATGGTGTTCTACAAGGTCTTACCTAGATTTATTGAGTTTTTAGAATTATTTGATAAAAAATATGAACTTGCCTTAATCTCCTTACATGAAGTTTTACCACTACATATGAAGTTCCAAGATCTACAGTAAGGTAATTCAGTCAAAACGTTTAAATAATTTACAACATTTTTTGTACATGTATGATGATTGCTTTATATCTTATTTGTAGTGATAATTATAAATAATATGCAAAACAATACATAAGATAACTGATCAATGAGAAATCTTTCATAAGTTGCACCTAATAACATTCAATTATTAAGGGATCTTTTATATGTAGATTTATTTTATAATATTATAGAGCCATAAGTTTATTTATTATTATGATGTAAATTATCAATTTTATGTACAATAATTCTTTTATTAATATCATTTATATTACTTCTTAATTTATATTAGTTGTGTTATGGATGTTGACTAAAGTATTTTGAATTGCACAATTAAATTGCACTATGTGTTATATTTTTCAAAATGCTCTATGTTGTCTTTTGATTATTGTATTATATCTCCTAATATCATTTGTTGTGATTGCACTAACTATGTTGTATCAACTTTATAGTTCGCTATGTTATACATCTTATTTAAATCATGATCGAATCATTCTTAAATCATAATCAAACAATCTTTTAACCATAGTCAAATAAACTTCGAGCCATGACTAAACAGTTCTTGAATTATAATTGAATAATATTTGAACTATGTTCAAATTTTTTTTGAATGATGAGCTTATCATGATTGAACCAACTTTTATCATTATTCTAACAAAGTTTCACACATATATTGATTCATACTTGAATCATATTTTAATATTGCTCCAACTTTCTTCGATCAATGTTCTTATCATATTTGAACTTTACTAATACATGGCTAGTTCGAACAATTTTCAAACATGTATCAAATATGAACAAGAAACTTATTATATGGTTCTAATATTGTTTGAATTGTTTGAATCTTATTCAAACCAATGCAAGTTGCAACATACAAAAAAAATAATATGCAGCCAAAAGTGGGGATATTTTGGTCCAAATTAAACTTTTAGATATATTTCTCCAAGAAAATAAGTAGCGGATAGTTTTTTTTCTTACAATTTTTCCATTATGACAAATTTTCATTATTGGAATAAACATATTAGGCAATACTTTTGCAATCATACAATCTAATAAGTTAGGAGGATTTACATACACAACATTTAAAATTACTCTATTTTTATATCTAATAACTTTAATTTTTTTATTAATCTCCATCTTCTCCCCGCTCAAGATCTCGAAAAGCATCCCCTAAAAATCCCAAAATTTGGCGTATTTATGGGATTTCGCCGAAGAAGCGCACGAAAGAGATAAAGATGGTTACCTTCACAACAAGCAAGCTGCAGTTGTGACTTTTGATTTGACATCATTAAAGGAGGCAAAGAAGCTTCTTCAACGACTCTTTCAATACAATACTTCACATGGAGCACACGAGGCCGAAGCAACAATGAAGAAATGTCAACGAAGAAAAGCAATAGTAGCAAAGAAATAATGAAGATGAAAAGCAAACCCTAAATGACCTAGCTTTATCTAAATTAGAAATAAATAACATAATTTAAAATATTAATAATTAAATAATATAATTTAACTTAATTAAATAATCATTAGCAAGAGTATTAGTAAATAATTAGTTATTTTAAAAAATAATGAACCAATTAATTGGATATCATATACTTATTAAATAAGCAACTAAATAAGTAATTTGATAAATAGTACTATAATCAATAATTAAATTATTTGATAATTAAGCTAATTTCTAATTATATTATTTATCATTATAACTTATTAATGTTGATTAAAATTAAAATTAATAAGTAACTCATACTTAACACACTAATTAAATTCATAGCACATTAAATTCAATTTTTAAATAAATCAACCGCCTTAAATCTTGGATTACCTTGCCAAACATTATCATAATATTTTACAAGATTTAACAACTATATTACAAAATAGTTTTTAGAATTTTTATGTACTTTGGACATATGAAATCCAAATTTACAAGTTTTACTAAATTCTACTTCTTGTCAAACAACCCCTAGGCATGCTTCAAATCCAACTGTTCCTTGCGTGATATGTGTGCTTGGCTAATGATCTCTAAGCGACCGCCATCGACAAAACTCCGAGGTCAACCCTCTTTCATCTCCCGGCTCTGTGGAATCTCAATGGTTGGATTGTGTAACGCCTAGTGATCTAAAATAAAAGAATTTCAATTCTTTTCCCTTTATTGTCTTTTTAAGTTCATTAACAATCATATCTTTGGCAACCAATGCTCACTAATTGCATTCAGGAAAAATACAAATAATAGAACATTTAATTAAATTACTACAGTTAATATTTACATATTGATTAAAATTTGAAGTCCAAACTAATAACCAAAAAGATGAAAATAAAAACTAAATTATCATCACTACGTAGCCTTAGTCTAGAGGCTCCACACATTTACTTAAAATCATATTAAAATCACTTAATTAATGAGCGCATAGTTCAATAAGTAACTAGAACTTACCACTACATTCAATGCAAGGCAAAATAATCAATATGCATGCTCTAGTTCTAGTCAATATTAATGTTATGAACAATAACCAATATATGATATCAATATCAATCAATATTAAAACGAATACGATAAGTGAAACAAGATTAGGTCAATAGGAAAAAAAAAAAGTCTATCAATTTATAAATTTTTTGGTTAAAAGGGTTATCAATAAATAATGTACAGTGAAATAAGCCTCAATTATCTATCAGTTATGTTTGTGCTGATGATTATATCACATGCTTCCATTAATCATTATGCCATTTAGATATGTTAATCATATGTCATACATGACTGTTTCAATATTAAAAAGAGTCATCACTTTTTATTTGTAAGTGTAATTCAATCAATTGGTTACATGCTAACATCAATATTACACTACAAATATTTTACTTTAAGGAAAGTCAGTCGGCTCACCCTCATGTGTAGGATATTATGTCTTAAAAGTCAACCCGTATTAATTATAATATCAATAAATATTAGTCTTTATTGCTTACATGCAAATAACACATTTATCTTGCATTAGTCATATCATTGTCTCTATGCAATCAATATCATGTAAGAAATGCAATTATCTATGAAATATAGGAAAATTTGAACACTATTCATTTTTTTTTATAAAATCATAACTATATATTTACCTAGTAAAAATTAATTTTTATTAGAGTTAAGATGCTCATAAGAATCATATTTATCATAAATAAAAAGTTACAATGTAAAAGTTTGATAAATTAGTAGAAAACATTTTATTTATGTGGATAAATAATAATTATAATATTTGTTAAGTTATTTGATAATTAAACTAGTTCCTAATTATATTATTAATTTGTAACTTATTGATGATAATTAAAATTAAAATGAATAAGTAACTTATATTAAAAATATAAATTAAATTTGAATTTTTAATGAACTAAATATCTTAAATATTGGATTATGTTGACAAATAATTTTCAGAATTAAATTTTAGTAGGATTACTAAATTCGCATTTGCAACATTTACTAAATCCTACTTGTTGTCCAATAGCCCCAAAAGGCATTTAGGAAAAGGTATTTTGTATAACCACAAGTCCAGTAGCCCTATTCCACATGGTCTTAGATAATTGGAAATGGAATTACTCGTTAAGGGATGCAAAGTAGGGGCAAGAAAAAGTACTGAGATCAAAGCACTATGGATTGGGAGTTGAAATTGAAGCAAGATAGTCGTAAGGCAATATGTAAGAACTTGATATTTGTGAAAATAATTTTAAAATGAAAATATGAAAAAAAAAAAAAATCTAAAATTTTGAATTGGAAAACAACGATGTTGTGTTTGTGAGAGCAGTGGAGCTAGGAAGCACTAGGAAAGTACTATTGCAGCACTGAACTCTCTAGATTCTATGAAAATAATTCAGCGCAACAACAATGAGGTGTCGCAGTGCTATTTTACATGCATCATTCCAGCACTAGGTAATGGGAGTGCAATTTTTATATATATTTAATGGTAAATATCCTTGCCATCATACCTCCCCCTTCCCTCATTTTGTTCCTTGTTGGGAAAGGAGTCAAGGAAGAGAAGACGATAAGGGGAACAGAAGAGAGAGGATCTACTATGGGGATTTTCAGTCCATTATTCATGCGTCCACAATTATTTTGTTCGTAGGAAGTAATTATGCTCTTACTATAGTTTTCGATAATTTTGATTTCTAAAAATTTAATCTTTCTCAAAATATTAATTACCTAATATTATATAACTTAACTAATAATATAGCTTAATAATATTAATTAATTTAATTATCTAATTAATATCATAAATATTAATAACCTAACTAATTATATAATTACTATTACTGTTTAGAATAATTATCTAATTATTATTTAGAATATTAATTATCCAATTAACTATTTATATTTTAATTTATATTAATTAAATTAGTTGGATTAATTCCTAACTAATTACGGTATAAGATTTGCTTCTTTACTTTCGGTAGCCCAAGTAATTTCTGATATTTCCTTGTCCCTCTCCATTTCTTCGTTGCTTCGCCTGCTTCGCGTGCAGTAGGCCGAAGGGCTTCTTCGCCTACTTCAACAACGTTTCTTCCTGTCGAATTGGAAGTCGCCGATCGGCAGTAGCGACGGGGTCACGGGAGCTTGCTCGCTGCGAAGGTAACTATCTTTCTCCCTTTCGCGTGCTCCTGCGGCCAAATCCCTTAAATCCGCCGAACTCCAGGATTAAGTATATCCGGGATTTGCGGCAAAAAGCGGGAAACGGAGGATTTATTATGCCGTGAGATTTACCAGCTGCTCAAGTCCCGTTTGGCAGGATTTAGCATAAATACTGTTGCCAAACAGCCCCTTAGGGTATCTCTCTTTCAAGGTGTGGGGTTTGATGGACCTTGTTTTCCCCCTTTTTTCTGAAAGCTTGGAAGGTATTTTCTTTTGACAAAGGTTTGGTTTTTTATTTTGTGCATATCCCGGGAGTTGGTGCGATGATTGGTGTTCAATGAGTGGTGAAAAATAGTTCCCGACCTTGAGAATAAAGACAGGGAAGAAAAATTTTCAATCATATGTGTACAACTTAAAGAGAAGGCTAGAAAAATTAAAATTTTGTTAAGAAAAATGTGAGTTTGGGGTGATAATTTGAGCTGGTCTTACTACAGAGGGCGAGGATGTTAAGAAAGGTGAGCATTGGGTTTAGTTCCACATTGGGAGTTCAAAATATGTTGGTGTAGGAATGCCAAGTGGTTCTTGTAGGCTTAAGATTTTGGGTTGAAGATTAATTTGACCATTGGCCCAATTTTAGTTCCCCTTTGGCTCACCCTCACAACAAGTTGTATTAAAATCAATGGTTTGTTTGGGATTAAGTGATTCATGGCATTTCTGGCTCTCAGTGCCTCATATGAGTTTTGTCCGCTTTCTATTATTGTTGAGCAATCTCATATGAGACGAAGGTTTTTAAGGTATGTGAGGGTATTGAATTTAGTCCCACATAAGGAATTTGGTACATATGTTGGTGTAGAAATGTCAAGTGGTTGGCTCTCACCCATAGGCTTAACGGCTTAAGTTTTTGGGTTGGAAATAAATCTGATCATTGATGTATCAAGCTTTGGTTCAAAGCCTTAACAAAGGAGGCAAGACAGACAATGGTGTGTGTACGTATGCTTATAACTATATTTGTGACAGTATGTGGGGGGTGTCTCATGTGATGGGAAGGGTAGATAAATAGGGGTGGGGCTATTTATAACTACAAGACAAACGTAATGTGTGCTCTTGTATTTGCCATTGTCTTTGAGAGAGAGACTGTTCATCTCAGCTGATGGGAAGGGTTTGGAAATAGTGGGTGTGGGTGCACATTTTTTAAGTTTGACTTAGGTATCTGGTTGCTGTACTTCTCAAATGTCATTTCTTGTTTTGTTTTTTGTTGCGGGTTCAAGGCTAAATTGAGTGTCATCATAAAGAGCAATTATTTATCATTGACGGTGGTTGGTTATTGTTCTCTAAACTTTTACATTTAACTTGTATGATAACATCACATCAAGCTTAACATGTCCTTAAGCTATGCTTTTCCTTGCTCCAGTTTGAGTGAAGTGAACTTATTGAATGTAGCTAATGGACCATTTTATACTTTCAATGATCTCTTGTGTGTGAATGTAATTAACTTATTTGTCACAATTTGTTCTCTTACATGTTGATGAATCAATATCAGGTTTTAGCATTGTTTCTTACCTAATATTAATTAATTGGATCCTACGTTATTAAATACTTGCGTAGCTTTTTGTGCCTGATCTTATATAGTACCACACATATAGTGTTAGCAAATAATATCATTAGCATGCGCATCCCAATTTGGATTATAAAATGCTTTCGATAATGTGCCAGGTGGAAGATAAAGAGATTAACATGAGAAATCAAGGGTGAGACATGATGATATGGAGATTCTATTGAAAGAGAAAGAAAGTTAACTACTATGAGAGAGGAGATCAAGATGAGAATAAAGAGATAAAGAGGGAGTTTAGGAAAAAAAGGATGGAAGAGAATTTGATTAGCATAGAAAGAGATAAGTAATCTCATGGTGGCTTAGAATGTACTTTGGCATGCCAGGAGTCTATCATCTATATCATTTACATTAAGGTCTTCCAAAACATTATCTTTGGTTATTCTTGATTGAACTAGGATTATATTCATGAAATTTTTGTGGTATCATATTGATACATCTACTGTATAAGGGCATCTCCAACCGAAAAACTCATTTTTCACTTCAAAATACATTAATACTCCAAAATGCAGCAACTCATCTCCAATTGAACTCCATTTCATAACATCAAAAAAGAATATTTTGGATATATTCTTTCACCAATAGAAAAAATGGCGTTAGTGAATAGTGCCATGCCAATATTGGCGTCACACTATGCACGTCACAAGAATGGCACAAGTTTTGGCGTTCGGGTGGAGCAGCTCATGGACGACAAACGCTGGTTTGACATTTGATTGGAGATGGCCTAAACCTTCCTTCTTGTAGGTTCCAACCATTTTTTTTGGCATAGGGATTTCATGAGGTAAGATTTGTGTATGTTTTAATACTCTTAGCAAGAAAATAAGTGGTGGACGAAGTTGAAACTAGCGGTCATACTTAACAAAATTAATATCACAATTATTGATAAATGTGGTATAGAATGGATCAATGGAGAATCACATTCCTATTAGTGATTCACATGAGAGTGTTTGCATCATGTATAGAGGGAATTACACAACCATAACACTTCATACTTTATCGACTCTCTTCCTTTCTCAACCTACTCTTGCCATGCATTTTATTTATAATTTTTTTTTTGCACAATTTATTGTGTTAGATCACATAATTTTTCTTGAAAGAAAACCTTCCCATGGCTCACATATTTTTCCAGCTGTGCTTACATAGGTTAGAAAGCCTATTGGTAATAGTTATAGAGGGCAAAAGTATTTCACACCAATCTCTCTCTCTCTCTCTCTCTCTCTCTCTCTCTCTCTCTCCATTTCTCTCTCTCTTAACACCGACTATGACATTGAAAGTCTCTTTTTTGCACCTACCATCATGCCGCTTGTAATCTATCATTATCTTCTTTCTTGCTCTTTTGCCCTCTTTTTCTAGCTGCTTTCATGGTCAATCACATTATTTTCTCCTTTTCATGCTATTGAAATACAACTAACTCTCCTAATTTGTCTTTTCTATTTACATTATGGCAATTCACATCATTGAACCTAGCCACCTACTTCATGCCTTTCTCCTCTTAAGGTCTCTCATTTTTTTTCTTTGATTTCTATTTTCAATGCACCGTGAAACTTTTTCCTCTCGTTCTATCCAGTTCTATATCATTGTTTCACTTTTTACTGTGACTTGTACCATTGATCCATAGCTTTCTTCATTGTGTATTTATATGATGGCATCAGCGCCAACTTTTAGTAGAGTGGTATTGTTCCTTCTCATCTAAATGTTAAAGGTTCACATCCCACCCCAATCCATTTTACTCAAGTAGCCATTTTAGTTATTGATTAATTTATTTCCTTAAATAAGAGAAATTATTTTATCATTTTTTTCTTAGTTGATACCACGATGCCATTCATTCATTTTTTTACCATTTTGATATATTTATTATAATTTTTTACATTTAATGATTGATGTCAATGTACTGGTGCTTTGCTAGTTCATGTTATTCCCTTCTGCATGAAATTTATAATAAGATGCAACTATTTAATTTTTTAATGTTAATCCTGAACCAGCCATCAGAACACTACAATTCAGACCATGCAAACTGAGTTTGCTTATAGAAACTTTTTCTGGGTAAAATACTTTTTGCTTAAATACTTTATGTGAAGAAGCAATTTAATGCTTTGGTGTTTATAAGTGATGAACTTTTTTTCTTAAGTAATGGTGCTAAATACTTGAGGATTTGATGATGAAGAATTAGTCTTGTTTGTAAATAAATTATGAATCTCAGCTTCACTCTTCTAAGCCATGTTGCTTTGTGAGTCATTCATGCTCATGTATTTATGCCATTGATTAGATGAAATCAATAGTAATCATGGCCAGCTTTTGATTCACAAATTTTGGATGGATTGGTAATTTCGTGCTATTGCCATGCAAATGATGTTTGGTATGAAATCAACTTACTGCCAGTCTTAGAAAGATGGACAAGTGTTTTTCTAGTAGATATATACTGCTCTTCAAGTGTGTTCCCTTGTTCTTGAAGCTATGGAGTATGGAGTAGGTGCATGTGCATCACAGTGCTTTGTCGTTTGTCACATGCCAATTTAAATTCGATATATAAAGTTTTGAAAAGGAAAATAGCTGCTAAGCATTACCGAAAGAGGGATGTTCTTCACAAGTATGTAGTTTATTCTGGCAGGGCGTTCTGGGTATGCGAGAGGTCTACTTCAGTTCAATCCATGGAATTAGATGGGTCTCTACCATATAGAAGTTGGGGAAAGTGCATGCATTTCTGAATAGAAAATTGATACTAAAAAAAATGTGGTTGGGTGACGCAAGGATATAGTCTTTAGAGGTGATTGAAGGGAAATTTTCTGAGATGTATTTGGATTTAGTAGTAAAACGAGTTCATGCTGTTCACCAAGTTTGGGTGAGCCAAATTTGAATCTTTAACTCATATGGGGATTCGAAATTTTGAAGTGTGGTTTGTGGACCTTGAAGGCCATGACCAATTTAAGTGTTTACAAGAGGGAAAGGGATCAATTCGATTTTGGACTTCCGGGTGAAAGTTAAAATTGATTTGATACTATGGTGTGCAATTTTTTGTTTGGAGAGTTATGAGATTCGTGGGGGCTCACTACCCCATCTTTGGTTTTCTTGTTTGGTTTGTTTGTTGCTTAAATTAACTTGTCCTCCGATTATAAGGCTTATCGGGCTTGTTTATTTGGTTATGCTAGAGCCAGAGCCATTAGCGGCACTTGAGTTGCCTTAGATTTTACTTCTGTTAATTGGTGGGTCCCTTTATTAGACCAACCATTAATTTTGCAGCCTCTTCAAGATTTATTTCGAAAAGTTTGCTATTGTTATTAATTTGATTATTGTCACCTTTATTATTATTTTCTATGATATATTGTTATTTGATTATTTCTATCATTGGTTCCTTGCGAAGTTGAGGTAGATTGAGGTTGACAACCATTTGTGAAACTTATATCTAATTTAGTGAAAAGAATTAAAATTCAAATTTTGTTATTGTTAGTGCATTCCTTAGAAGCGACATGCCACGACCTAACTCGGCTGTGATACGACATAGGCAAGTGAGCTAGGACATCACCCTTATGTGATGCGCCATTACTTAACTCGATTATTGTAAAAAGTAAGCATGAGATGGTTAGATAATGGTGAAGGTTGATTAGGTTTAATCAACAATGAATTGCCCCATGCAATTTGTGAAATTTGAATGATAAG